GGAGAAACGGGGACCCCGGGGCAGGAGCGGGGTGACCCGGGAAAGAGTGGGGGAACAGGCCAGGAGCGGACCGGACCCCGGGAGAAACGGGAACCCCAGACAGGAGCGGCGACCAGGGGCAGGAGAGGACCCGGAGCAGGAGCAGGGGACGGGGCAGGGGCGGGGACCAAGGGGCAGGGGTGGACCCAGAGCAGGAGCAGGGACCTGGGCTGGGCTGAATGCCGCCCGCAGCCTCTGGCAGCCCACCAGGGCAGTGCAGGGACTGTGGCTCAGAGCTCGAGGTGACACCAAGACAGTCCTGTCAGGGTGGCCTCGTCCTCTTCCCCTCCCTGCTGTGGGGCGAGCCCACCCTAGGTTTCGTGCTCTTTGCCTGTGAGCGTGGGGGCGGAGGTCCCCTGGTCTGAGTGAGAATGTGGGGACCCAGCAAGCTGGGTGACCCTTCCTGTCCCAGTGTGTCTATCTTGTAGCCATAACAACTGCGGGTTTGGGCATGCGGATGCAGTGGGACTGGGGTGCAGGTGGTGCAGGCTTAAGGGCACTTGCACAGGGGGACCCTGCTGGGAGCCATCAGAGGCAGCTGCCCCCCTCCGCTGTGGTCTGAGAGTGGTGACAGGACCTTCAGGACAGGGACCAAGGGATGGCCAGTCAGGGGCGGAAGAGACCTTGTCCTTCGGAAGGGAAAGGGCAGGAAGCACAGGAAGTGGATGTGGGTTTGATAAGGACAGGTTGAGAGGCCAGAGAGATGTTAAATGGCACTGACATTCGGATGGAATTTACCCATTTATGAAGTGGAAAACTGGCAGAGAAGGGAAAGGACGTTTGTCAAACACCTATTGTGCCCCATGTGCTTTGTACAGTAGCATGATTAATAAGCTTAGCAAGGTTCTCCAAATGTTACTCTCCTTGATGAAGAAGAGGGAAACCAAGGTTTAGGTGTGGGGATTGTCCCATTTGGGCTTTAATATTTGAAAGAGTTACAAGTCTTAAAACTCACATAGCTACATGAGGAAGCAGGCATCCTCATTTTAAAGATAAGGATAAAGTGACAGAGGTGTGGGCTGGGTGACCCAGTGACCAGAGTTCTGCCTGGATGTAGGTCTCTGTCAGGAACTTCCGTTCCTGGCCTAGGTAAAGGGGCTTTCCAGGTCAGTTGTGTGGCTGTCCTGTACACAGAGCGTCCCTGTGAAGGGGCCATGGCTGAAGATGGCCATGGGACATACGGAGTCCCCAGAACTGGAACATGTATGTAGCATGGATAAATTGTACTTACATGG